ATTATTGAACTCATTTTTCTGTCTTCCCCCAACCCTGATGTCAGTCCTGTTTTACAACAGTGGCATCATGCAGTATTTGTCCTTTTGTGACTGAGATAGTTCACTCAGCATAATGTCCTCCAGGGTCACCCATTTTGAATAATATTTCATGAGTTCCTTGTTTTTCAATGCAGCGTAGTCTTCCACAGCTTCTCTGTCCATTCGTTTGTTGATGGGCACTTAGGTTGTTTCCAACTCCTTCCTATTGTGAACAAAGCTGCAATTAACATGGTGTGGAGTTAGTTTTTTATAAGAATCCGTTGGTGAGCGTCTTAAAAATCAGGCTTCTGGTTCTGTATGTTTAGAAATGCTGATTCTCAGCAAAGACATGAATGAACTGAGGGCCTTGGTAAGAATCCAGCCATCACTTTTCTGCTCAAGAGCAGTCAGTGACTCACTGGCATCTGAGTTATAGCCGACTCATAGCTGATCCTCCTCTGGGATTCCGAGGCTGTAAATCCCACTGGAGAAGAATGTCCATCCATCTTTTCCCTGAGGATCTGCTGGTAGATTTGAAATAGCTAAGTGAGATGTGCTGCTTTTGGGGTTAGCCCCTAATGTTCGATGAAGCTATTTTATTTTGCTAAGGAATTATTTAAGAATTATTTGGAAACAATAAATTGTTAATAGCATTTTTTTTACTTCTTTATCGTCGAGTCAGACCTGATTGGCACAGGAGGAGACTGCCTGTCCTTTTCCAGAGGAGCATCTGGGGTATTCGAACTGCACGCCTTCAGGATTGCAGTGCAGCTTCTTGCCACTAGTCCACCAGAGCTCCCTTTGCTAATAGAATTTGTGTTTTTTTACTTTGTTTTTAAATTTAATTGGAATAGCTTTGCAATAGAGGGGAAATGCAAATTACTATGATTTGCATAGATAATATTATATTTTGGTGCATATACACATGCACTCTCATGTAGATAGGGAACTGTGGTAATGAGTTGTGCTGGCAACCCAAAGGCACAGGGTTCAAATCCATTAGCTGCTCTGAGGAAGAAAGATGAGCAGTCTCCTTCCATGTGATTTATTGCCTCTGAAAACTCACTATGAGTCATTTCCCGATCGATGGTAACTAATAACAATATATGCATAGTGACACGTGTGTAGGAACTCATAATGTTTTAGTTTATTTCCACCTTAATTAGATAATTTTGGTACTCTTGTTTTGAGATTTTTTATTTTGAGAATTGCAAAGAACTAGCAAATTTAAATGTCAGTATGCAAATAATAGGACTAAATATTAATGTCTCTTTGGTTGTCTTTTTCTCTTCCAAGCTGTCTGGCTCCATTAAAATGAGTTTTAAAATTTTTGTAGTCACGGTTTTAAAACCCTCAATTGATGTGTGAAAGTTACACAATCCCTTTTGTAATTTCGGAAGATGGGAAGATACCATTAGGAGGCCCGCTGTTGGTCTTTAATAGGAAACCAAAGCAAACATAACCTCAGTTTTCTTCTCTTTATCAAGGGTGAAACAAACGACTTTGAGTTGTTGAAGAACCAGCTGTTAGATCCAGACATAAAGGTAATTCGTTTTATATCTGGTCATTAGCAGTGCTGTTGCCACTTTGTGTAGACAGTCCTTTGAACTTTTATTATTCTATTTCCTCTTCTAGAGCTCACTTATTTAATGAAACCCTTTTTATCCTGTGACTCTCAGACAGGGGGATAGGTTTGCCCTACAGGGGCCATGTGGTTCCTGTAGATACTTGGTGCCCCACTAGGAGAGAGGAGGACTCATGGCATCGCGTGGATGGGTAGAGGCTAGGGATGCTGCTGACCATCTGCATCGCAGAGAAAGCCTCGCACAGCACATAATTTTCTGGTTCAAAATGCCAGTAGTGTGAATAAAACCACAATCATGATCATAAGAACATGACAAACAGTATTTATAAGCATGTGTCTATATGTGCTATATATTCATCCATGTATATAGTAGAGAGAGCAAAAGGAAAAATTAACCCCTTAGCTGGCGAAGAGTCTTGAACATACCATGGACTGCCAAGAAAACAAATACATCTGTTAAGGAGAGGGTGAAGCCAAGCTTCTCCTTGGAGGCTAGGATTTTGAAGCTCCATCTGACATACTTTGGGCACGTGGCCAGGAGAGTGATCCTTGGAGAAGGACATCATGCTTGGAAGGGTGGAGGGACAGCACAGGAAAGGAAGACTCCAAATGAAAGGGACTGATACAGTAACTAGGGCAGAGGGGTAAGTGTGTTGGAACTGGTTCAGGACAGAGCAGGCTTCAGAGCTGCTGTACACAGGGTCGCCGTGGATTACAGGTAACTCGATGGCACATAACTACAACAACAGCTATAAACACACACTTGGAAGGAATTAGTCTCTTGTCCTGCAAGTTCAGGACCATAGTTATGGACCACAGTAACTGGAAATATTAGAACGTAGCCTACAAATAGAGTGTTCTTTGGTGAATGTTGTCTGGAGTCTTGAAAGCCTGTGAGTGAGCACGTGAGGTGCAGCTATGATTCTCTTCTTCACCTGGAGTGAAAAAACCCTCAAAACTCATTGCTCTTGGGAGCTGTGGTGGCCTAGGAGCAAGGAGCTCTGCTGCAGTCCCAAAGGGTCTTGGTTTGAATCCACCAGATGCTCTGCTGGAGAAGGAAGGGCAATCTCCTCCTGTGCCAGTTGGGTCCAATAAGAAAAAAACACATTAAAAACCCCTCAGTGCTCTCAAGTCAGAATTGACTTCCCGTAGGTTTTGGGAGGGTGTAAATCACAAGGGAGGAGATTGCCCATCTTTTTTCCTCTGTGCTGCTGATGGATTTGAAGCTGCCACCTCTCAGTTAGTAGTGCAGTGCCCTTTGGGCTCCACCACCAGATCAGAGCAAAGAGGAATGAAGAAAAAAGGGAAAAAAGCAAATACTATTAGTCCAGTTGGAAGCAGCAGGAGTCGCATCCACTTCCTAAACAACAAGCCTCTGAAACTCTGATAAATGACGATAGTTATAGAAAGGCTTCAGGCCTTTAGGTCATAGGGTCGCTATGAGTTGTGCTCAACTTGAGGTCAATGAACAACAACATTAGTCCAAAGAACCTTCATGCTCCATGATCCAGAGACCAGAAGAACTAGCTGGTACCCAGCCACCACTGCTGATCTTTCTGGAGAGGATTGAAAGGGAGGGATCACAAGTAGAAGGTCCTTGATGGAGCGGGAGAAAAATGGGAAACAAACTCAAAATAATATTTAAAAAAAAATAGACTAGCTTTACTGGGTCTGTCAGAGACTGATGGAACTGATGAAACCTTGACCCTTAATTAACTCTGGCAATTAAGTCACTTTTCAAGGGAACCTGGTGGCCTGGTGCCAAGAAGCTGCGTTGGAATCCCAACATCAGGTGGTTCGAGGCCACCAGCTGCCCTGTGAGAGAAGAATGGGCAGTCTCCTTCTGAGTGATTAACGGCCTCTGAAAGGCCACTGGAGGGTCAGCTATGAGTCAGTTCTGACTCTAAGGTATACAACAAGAAGAGCAGAAATGAACCTTTCTGATTCAACTTTCTGACAAGCAATAGACAGGCACTTGGCCGTCCATTCTCATTGCTCGGTTCTCATTGAGTCAGTTCTGAGTCTCTCCTCTCACGGCCCAGATCTGGAAAGAATAGGTTCTAGATCCAGGTCCTTTATATCCAGGTTCTGTGCCTCTGGTTGGGAATTTGCTTCAGTGACAATGGAGACATTCTGCAGTGTGCTATTTCTTTATCTACGTTCCATTCAGATTTCACTTGCAGCCTTGTTCTTTATTTCACTTTTAATTTCTTTTCCTTTTTTTACATTGTGATTTTAATGAAAGTTTACAGAAAAGTTGACTTTTCATTCATTGTTACACATTTTCCTCCCTGCCCCCACAGTTCCCCTTTTTTTTTCTTTAAAAAAAATTCATTGTTGCGTTTTTTTGTTTTCATACCTCTGTTTTGCTTTCATCTTTATTGGCCGGTTCCCTGTTTGGATTACCTATTTTTTTGTGATGCCACAAGGATTTACCATTGGGACTCGAGGAAGTAGTAGCACAAGTAGAATACATTATGTTGTCTGTATCTGAACTCAATAATGTGTAGTGTTTAATCACAGTTGAACTTTGAAAGAAGTGACACCATGGTGCACATCTATTATGTATGTATTCAGTTATGAATTGAACAGATAGTAGTAAAGTTTGTATTTTATGTAATTACAGGTAACATACCATTTGTTGTTGTGTACTGTTAGAACAGATGCATAGCTAGACACTCTAGGAAGTTTTCAGGCGCATTAAATGGCACTTGAGGACATTGCCCATCTTTCTCCTACAGAGCAGCTGGTGGATTCAAACCTTGTGCCTTTGGGATTGCAGCCCAGCTTCTTACTACTGTGCCACCAGAGCTCCCTTAACATAGTGACTAAATTGCTAATCTGTTAGAAATGTGCTGAATTAAAAATCGTCTGTATTTCTAACAACCAAAATATGTTTGGTTAAATATCTGATTTCTCTTGAAAGAGAGCTATAAATTAGGTTTTTAAAGGTTATGTTTAAAGGGAGCTCTGGTAGCGTAGTGCCAAGAAGCAGCGCTGCAGTCCTGAAGGCATGCTGTTCAAATCCACCATATGTTCCACTGGAGAAGGAGGGGCAATCTCCTGCGCCCGGTGGGATTTGATTAGAATGGTACACAATGCCCCCTAAAAAAAAAGAAAAGTTATGTTTCTTGTTGTTAGATGTTGACCTTTCCCCTCAGTTCTCTAGTAGCTCCCCCCAGCTGCAGCTTTCTGCTCTGCCTCAGGGCTCTTCAAGGCTCCTTGCTGTCTTCATTGTTCCAGCTCTTTTAGGAGTCCTTGCTGCTTATGCTTCTTGTTTCTCTGTTACCTCAGAAATACCTGCAGCAGACACCCATATGATTTGTAAGAAACTGCCCTCCCCCAGGACTGTGCATTGACCAGTCTCCTCCAAGGACCACAAAGTCACTTAAGTTTGCATAGTTAACTGACCAATCACTGTAAAGTGCATAATATAGACCAATCTCAGACAAACTATAGCCCCAGCTTAGATAAGCAATAGCAAGCCCAGGGAGCTCTGGTGGCCTAGTGGATAAGGACTTGGGCTGCCAGCCAGAGGCAGACTGTTCAAGTCCACCAGCTGTTCCGTGGGAGAAAGATTGACAATCTCCTCCCTTGAAATTTGTAGCCTCTGAAAAGTCACTGGAGAATCAGATCTGACTCTGTGGAAGTGAGAGCTTTTTTCATAAATTGTCTCCATTGTACCCAAGGGTTAAGCTGGATGAAGTAACAGATCAGGTAGAAAACGAGGGCACAACAAGTAAGATAATTTTTCTGGGCCTAGGTGAAAAGAAAAGAACCAAGGCAAAAAGACCCCATAAAGGAACTTAATTCACCTGCTTTTGCTTTTTTGAAGAGGGGGGAAAAGTGATTACAGACTTGAAAGGCTACAATTCATTAGTTCTTTTTTTCTGCTGTGTATCAGAAACTATCAAAATGACATAGTTTCTTTAACATTTATTTACAGGCAATTGATGTAAAGTTGTACTTTTTCTTTTGGTGGTTTTATAGTTTGGTGATTTTGAGAGTACTTTTCTTTGTTCCCCTTAGGATGACCAGCTCATTAACTGGCTGCTGGAATTCCGCTCTTCCGTCATGTATTTGACGAAGGACTTTGAGCAGATTGTCAGTATTCTGTTGGTAAGTACGCCATCTAGTTGCAGGGTCTAGTTTCTTTAAACGGTATATATTGAATCAGTAAAACATATCCGTTATCCTGCTCCCTCCCAAATACAGAGACTGCAGTGGTTGAACCGAAGTCAGAACGTGGTGGAAGAATACTTGGCTTTTCTCAGTAATCTTGTATCAGCACAGACAGTCTTTCTTCGACCATGTCTCAGCATGATCGCTTCTCATTTTGTACCTTGTAAGTAGTGTTATTATTTGATTTATAAAAAAATGTCTCAGTTAAGGTACAGCCTTCCCCTGTAATTTTGAGATTGAGCTGCCATGTAGAATGTCAAGAATGACAGGAGCTTCTGGCCTGTAATCTCCTCCCAGTATTGTTAGCCTCTCTGGTGATGCCTGCTTTCGTTTGTTGCTGTGAATTTTGTGAGTTATAGTTAGCTTTAGTGAACTTTTGACAAAGTATTAGAATTCATATTGAGATTGTTAACTGTTTAAAAGCTGTAACATACTTCCCCCCTGATTATAAATTCAATATGTAGTCAGTTGTATAAGCCAACTTTTCATATAATTCTTCATTGCTTAGGTCAGTATTAGAAGAATAATTTCTTTTTTTTCTCCCAAGCCCGAGTGATCTTCAAGGAAGGTGATGTGGATGTTTCAGATTCTGATGATGAAGATGATAGTAAGTTTAAAGAAAAGGGAAAAGGGTGTTTCCTGTGTCGTACTGAATTATAATGGTGGCAATTCGAATCTGTTCTGATAACTGAACTCAGTGATGTTAGGTTGGAACTGACTCATCATAGCTGGTCATCCAGTGAGTTTCTTTTTTTGTTTTTTGTGTTGTTTTTTTTTAAATTTATTTTATTTCATTATTTTTTGTGTGTACTGTCAAATCAGATCTGACTGGTACAGGAGGAGATTGTTCCTCCTTCTCCAGCAGAGCATCTGGTGGATTCGAACTGTGTATCTCTGAGATTGCAGTTGCAGCTTCTTGCCACTAGACCACCAGAGCTTGCCTTCCAGTGAGTTTTTTAGAGGACCTTCTGGCAGGCACATTGCATGGGAGGCTATTGCCAGTGGGAGAACCCATGGAACCACTGATGAATTTGGCAGCAAAACCTCTTACCCACTCAGCCACCATTCTAATGAGTAAACTAGTAAAGGGTCACCATCCCCCCACCTTTTTGTGTACTTATGAGTCGGATCTGACTGGCACAGAAGGCCCCCTCTCCAGCAGAGCATCTAGTGGATTCGAACTGTGCGCCTTCAAGATTGCAGCTCAGCTTCTTGCCACTAGGCCACAAGAGCTCCCCTAAAGGGTCACCTTTGGTGATAACTTTTTTTTTTGCTGATTTTTTTTTTATTATTCTTAAATGGTTCCTAACCTGTACACTATAATAGACAAAGTGCTAGTCTATAGGCCTTTTATTGTAAGAACCACCTTCCCTCTGTAACTTGATTTGTGCCACTACTAGAACTTCTACTCGGAATATTATTGCTTGTTAATTTTTGACTCATGTACTTTTAACTTGATAATAACTTTTGTTTTATTTTGCACTTAATATATAATAGTTATGCTAAATTAGTTACTGATATAATTAGTCAATTTACTGTTGGTTACAGAAAAAATACTGAGCTAATCTTATAGGTAACAGGCATTTTTTTATTTTAAATAAAAAAATTTTTTTTACTTGGTAACAGGCATTTTTAGTTTCACATAAATAATTTTTCAACTTTACATTTTGTTTTTGAGGCTCACATTTTGCTTTTTTCCTTACAGATCTTCCTGCCACCTTTGACACATGTCACAGAGCCTTGCAGATAATAGTGAGATATGTCCCATCGTGAGTATACTTTTGTTACTTATTTTTAATTATGCTGTTAATTCTCAAGAAAATTTTCTAGTCACTTAAATTATAAAATGCTGATAATGTCAGAATTCATTTCGTGCATGTTTTGTGGTATCCCATTGATGCGTCATCATTTTGTCTATAACTTCTTTTTGAAAACTTGGTGTGCAAGCTTTGTCCCAATCTTTTACGTAGTATTCAGCATTATTTATATAAATATATATCCTTACATTAATATTGGTGTAGTGGAAAATGTTTAAATTCAAAGCTAAAGCTAATATAGGAAAAAAGGTTTCTCCTTTAATTTTTGGTATTAAAGTTACTAAATGTCTTATATATAACTTTGAGAACATTTTTGCTTTGACTCATAGACGTTTTTCTTTAATGAAGCTTTGCATTTAAGAACCAACCTCCTTGACTCAGTCCCAGATTTTGTCACCAAAAAAAGGGAACCACTCTGAACTAAAAGTTCCCCTTTGCTTTCTGTCCCTATCTGTATTTGATCTTAGATGGAAATGCCTCCTTTGAATGTATACATTAATCTTGATTGATTTCTCACAGGACACCCTGGTTTCTTATGCCAATACTGGTGGAAAAATTTCCGTTTGTTCGAAAATCAGAGAGAACGCTGGTAAGAAATATTTCACGGGAAAAATAATTGAAAAATTGCGTTGTGTGATTTTGTTTTAAATGATATGGTTTTCTTTGCATTTTTGTTTTATAATAGTTTGCCTACCAAGTTTGTGTATCTCACATTATCCTTCATTCACATTGGGTTTAATTGTTTTATCCTTCAGACTTTATTTATTTTTTTTTTAATTTTTGGGTTTTTTTTTTATCCTTCAGACTTTAAAACCCAATACCAGGAATTTGGCCCAAATGCCTTTTTTAGACTGATAGGGGATTCCTGCTGCTTTTTTTAGTTCTCTGTGCAATCAAGAGCAGAGTCCATTTCTGGAGGCTTAAAGTGCTAACTTAAAGATTGTTTTTTTTAAATCAGTCGCTCAGAAGGAAAAGATGAGGCTGTCTGTTTCTAAGAGATGTACAGCCTCAGAAACTTTTAAGGGAATAGCTCTGCCCTATTCTGTGGGATTGTTGTGAGTTGGAGTTGATAGCAGTGGTTAATGAATGCTTGAATAAATAAGAATTACTAGCAGGTAATGGTTCATACCATATTAAATAGAAGCTGCCCTTATTTGGACATGAAGTAGTTTTCTCTAGAGGAAGTCTACCTAAGTTATTATACAGTATTTAAATTATCTGTATGCTTGACTTCCTAAGTTTACATTTATTTTTTAAGTAGTAGTTGTTGATTGCCTTCAAGTTGAGCACAACTTATAGCGACCCTATGAACAAAAGGCTTGAAGCCCCTCTATCAACATTTATTGATGTTTGTAGGGTTTCTGGAGGCATGTTATTTAGGAAGTGGATGCCACTCCTAAATTCCAAATTTTTAAAATAAGATATATTAATAAGACATTGACATTTAGTATTTTTTGTGATAGGCAACTTGAAGTGTAATATTCCAAATCATTGTACTTGTATAGAAACAACAACAAAATCTCATCAGACTAGTAGGGAAATTAATATAGTAATATTTAAAATTAACTTCAAACCATGACCATGTGGAATTTATCCTAGAAAAGGAAGGTTGCTTTAACATTGAAAATTAGTTATTGTAGTACACCAAATCAGCTGAGTAAAGTACAAGAAATGAGCTTCTCAGTACATGGGGCAAAAGCATTTGACCAGCTCTAATACCTTTTCTTGACTCAACCACTCAGAAGGGAGCTTTCTCAACCTGACAGGGCGCATCTAGGAAAAAGTGAAAGCCAATAATGTACTAGGGGGCTCATGTGGCATCATCCAGAGGGAGATGTGCTGCTCTCCAAAAGGCTATGCCTCTGACAGTTTGAATCCACCATCTGCTCTGAGGGAGAAGGGAGAGTGGTCTCCTCCCATGGTTCTTACAGCCTTACAAACCCAGTGGGGAGTCTGGTCCACCTCAACAGCAGCGACTTGATATAACAGAGTTAATGGTGAAAGACTGACCATTTCTCCACTTAGATTGGGAATAAAACGTAAAAAGAGAAAAAAAGGATGTATGTTCTTGCCACTGGGGATAGTCTGTAGGGCAATTAGAAAAAAAAAAAAAGGCATCCAGATTGGAAAGGAAGGACTAACCTGCCTCCTTTGGCACAGTTATGCTTTTACATGCAAGGGGGCTCTGGTGGCCCAATCTGAAGGGAATTTTCTTGCCAGTGCAAAGACGGTACCTCTTCTAGTGATTTAAATCCACCGAAGACTCCTCAGGAGAAAGATGGACAGTTTTCCATGAGATTTACAGCCTCTGACAACCTACTGGAGGGACAGCTATGAGTCAGTACCAACTTGATGGTACATAACAACAATGACATAAACTACCTTTGAGTTGATTCCATATCAGAGTAGAACTGCCGCAGAGGCTGTAAATCTTCACACAGGCTCATTGCCTTATCTTTCCCTTCAGGAGCTACAAGTGAGTGGAAACCAACCTTTTAGTTAACCGAGTGCATTAACCACTGCCATCAGGGCTCACTTATAACCTGCTCAAGTTCATTGCTGTAGAGTTGGAACCAACTCATAGCTGACCCTTCAGTGGGTTTTAGAAGCTGTAAGTTGTATGGGAGGAGATTGCCCAGCAGCTCCCAGGTAGAAAGGTAGAATCGACGAGGCTGGCTATAATCATGAAGACTACAAGACTGTCCATCTTTCTCCCAAGAAGCAGCTGATGAGTTTGAATGACTCATCTTTTGCTTAGAATTGCAATACAAAGTGCCCATGCCAGATAGATTTGGATCTTTAGATTTTGTTTATGTACACTGTTGAGATGCACATTGTTACTGCTTTGCTGAAGGGGGAAAAAAACCCCAAAATGAACCCATTACTGTTAAGAGATTTCAGACCCGTAGCAGCCATATTAATTAGACTGAGAGCTGCCCCGTAGGGTTACAAGGGTGCAGTCTTCACAGCAGCAGGCTGCTCCTGGGTGTTCTTCCTGAAGCCGCTTGTGGGTTCAGAGTGCTTCATCACTTGGTTGTCTGTTTTCTTATTTAGATACTTGAAGACTGTATTAATGGATGGTTTGCTTACTATCTGTAGAATACTCTCTGACAACCTTGATCTCTTTATATTTGATATTTTAGGAGTGTTATGTTCATAACTTACTGAGGATTAGTGTCTATTTCCCAACCTTGAGGAAAGAGATTCTTGAGCTTATTGTTGAAAAGCTACTCAAGTTGGATGTAAGTATAGAACACATTTTTTTCTCCTTAATTTTCATTTGTTGACTATGCATGTCATCATCACAGTGCACGAAGCAACAATAACGATGAGAAAGAATCCACGCTCCCATCATTTAAAGACTCATGTCTTTCCTTGCTGATTCTTGAACTGTGTTCTGGGGAGTTATGCACCATTCCATCTCTCATGATAAGGGATAGGCATTGAATAGATTTTAAATGTGCACATTTATTTAAAAGAATATTTGGGTGGGCAGTATTCAACTCCGACCTGACTTTGGTGACAAAAGTCAAAGTCTGAAGAGAAAACATCAAACTTCTTGAAAGAAAAGGGTGAAGTGCAAATGTTTGTGCCCTTTTGTAAAAGATTATATAGGAATAATAAAATTATTTCAGAATAAAGTTTGGAAAACTAGCCTAGACTTTAAAAAATTGTGGTCACATCACATTATTAATAAAGGTTAAGTAGGAAATAATATAAAAAAGAAATATTTGTGGTAAACACCGTGGGTAAAACATTTCTTGTTAGGAGAGGAACCAAGTACTTGGGGACATATTTAGAGGAGTGATGTTGAATTGAGATTTTCACACCTTCCTGATGTTTGGTGTTTTTAAAAAGCAAATCATAATTGTCAACTAGTAAACCCTTTCGAGCCCCAAGATTTGAAATCAGTAGGGTGAGAATGAAAAGTTACCTGGTGGATTGTAGTGAGACTAGAGGGAGAGTGAAATTGTCCTTGAGCCCGGGATAGAAGTGAGAGAGTGAGGGCTAAGGGAAAGGAACCCGTCAGGCATGGTGCCTTCATCAACAGTGATAGGGAAAATCAAGGGAGAGAATTTAAAAAGGTTGCATTTTCCTTTTGGCCAGGCTGGGTTGCTGCCTGGGGTGGAGGGCTAAACAGAGAATCCTCACTGAGTGATTGTAGGTGCGTGCAAGGAACTGAGGCCAGGCCTGTGGAGTAATGCCTGTTAGCATAAGGGGACAGGAAGGATCGAAGAGATAGATGCGGAGGGAGGATCTGGAAGAATCGTCAGCCTCTCACGTTCCTTACATTTTTAAGGGATTTGAGAAACACAAAGGTCTTTGGATTTGTCTACTGGAAAATGATCTTTGTTGACTTCTCAAGAGCAACCTCAATAGAATATCAGCTGCATTTCAGGAGCATATGGATGGTTAAGAAATGCAGGTTGTTACAGACCGTAGGGGGTTTTGTGATGGACAGAGGGGATGGAGTAGGGATGAAAGAGACATTTTTTAGAATTGGGGAGATAAGTCTTGGTGATGGGAAAAAATATTGATGCTTGGGAAGAAGGAAGATAATGAAGAATTAAGCCTTGGAGAGGGGTAATTAGATATACTGGCTCAGTGCTAACTTGGAGCTAACATCTCTGGGCAACTGCCTACACGATCTAGTTATAAAGTCTTTTCTCTGGTGTTTACTTAAAGGGCATATTTGTTTAGAAAGGGACTTTATGTTTAGAAAGAAAGTCACGTATTCAATAGCCAAAAGACATGATTTGTGAAATGTATAAGCAAGGTATATATTAATTATTGCACCAAATTAAAATCTTAAAAAAATGAAATTTGCATTTCATACTTTTTCTGTCAGTTGACCTGAGATATTCATATGTGAGTATACATATTTATATTTGGTACAAATTAAGAGGTGAAATGTTGTATTGGATTTGTTCTTTTTTATTTAGAATACTTTATAACTCATGTTTATTTTATATAAAATAGTAAGAAGGGCTTGATCTATAATATCCTAGTTTTTTTAGTGGCTCAGATAAATGTATAGATTTTTCACTATAACTGTTGTTTTATGGTATTACCTAACACCTTTAAAGTATGTATATTAGATGAATTTCCAGTCCCAAAATAACAGATGTGTTTTAAACACCTTTAATTCGTTCTTGTTGATCTGTAGGTGAATGCACCCCGGCAAGATATTGAAGATACTGAGGAAGCAGCAGCTCAAACTCATGACGTCACAGACGCCACAGAAGGATTGTTTAATATGGTCAGCATTTTGTTAGTGGAGGAAATGAACACGGTTCCTAATACCAGGGCGTGGGAAGAGACAGCAAATGATTCCTCATCTTGTTAGGGCAATTAAAATCGCTTAGAAATTGTGAAAATTGAGAAAATGTTCTCAGTGCACAATTTACTGTTGTTACTACTTACTGTGTAGCGTAGTTGGTTTATTTCCAAGGCCTTGAACTTGAGTTTGGAGTTTTGATAGTTTTGGTTTTGTTCTTTTTCCTCCCATGGAGTCGTAGACGGTTGTTTTAATTTTGTGTTTCACACAGTGTGTGCCTTAAAGGAGCACTTCTCTACCTCAGGTGGTCTCTTCTATTAAGGTCACTGGAAGGAATACCAGGACTCACAGGAGAGTGCAGGATTCTCCTGGTTTTGGGACACAGGACCTGAGAAAGATGGGAAGGGAAGCTGCCCAAGTCATTTAATAAGAGCCACTGGGGCCTGGGTGTCCTGTGTTGGTAAAGGGGCGGTGGTTCCAGTGGGATCTCCCCACTGCCAGGTCTGCTTGCATCTTTTCGATGGGAATCTGAGGCTGAGGCACCGAATCTGTGCTTTTTGTTTGAAAACTCCTCATCCCTGGTAGAGCGTGAGCTCTCATCTGGAAAAGGGTTGATGTTTTCTGTATTTTCATGTCAGTTTTTCCCTTCTCTTTAAAGGATGAAGATGAAGAAACTAAAAATGAAGCCAAGACTGATCCTGCACAATTAGACTGCATGGTCCATCCGGTGGCGGAACGCCTGGACATCCTACTGTCTTTACTTTTGTCCTACATTAAGGATGTCTGCTACGTTGATGGTAATGGTCTCTAATGATAACAGTTACTGAGTGTTGAACACCTACATCGCACTGGCTCTGCCCTGGGCATTTTGCATACATTATCTCTAGGACTATAAAAATCTCATAGAAATCCGTGTTTTGTGTGTAAAGAAAAGATTCAGCGAGGTCAAGTTACTGCCCGGTGTCACATGCCTTGAAAATGGTAGGGCTGGGATTTAGGCTCATTTTTATCTTTTTAAAAAGCCCTTGATCCTTTTTCAGAATATTTTTCCAGAAAATTACATATAAGACATTTTGTTTGTGGTAGGCATGGTTCAGAGGACAGTCAAGTTGCCCAAGGCATTTCAGAATCACACAGTAGTCATTGGTTCACCAGCTTGGTGTTAATATATGGACTTCAGAGTATCCACCTCATCCACTCTGGTGCCAGGTGTTGATACTGCCTGTGTTGTTGTGTGCCATCAAATCGGAACCGATCCATACCTGAACCCCCAGCAGGTTCTCCGAGGCAGTTAATTGCACAGGAGGAGATTGTCCATCCTTTTCCATTGACACTGCTTATACTTATGGTTTTTTTTCCTTTTGGTATCTTGTGGGGTCACACTATGCATACTTCATACTTTTTCAGCTGTTACATTGTTTTCATATAGTTCACTTTTCCCCTAAAAAAAACGATTATTACTGATTTGAGTAGATTTCCGTCATGTAGACTTAGTGTCTTTATTTTTTCCTTCTGCCCTTTATTTTTGTTTGTTTGTTTGTGATGCGGACCCCACAGGGTTACATTATAGATAACATTTCATATGTGCGTGTACCTTTAATAAATAACTTTTAGCAAATTTTTGGCCTGCAACCCCATGGATATTGATCATATGTAAGCCCCACACGATGTGTCAAAGTAGAGACCTGCTCTCTTGCCAGCACAAGAGGATTATTGGAAATAATAAAGAAAAATCTGTGTGACGTGAAAGAGGCAATTTTAAAAATCTTTGTTTAATGCCTACTGTTGGCAGGATTGGGCAGAGTCTTGCTGAACCCAGGATTGCTGTGATTTGGAGCTGACCAGACCTGGTGGGACCTGACGGAGACACTTTTTTCCTTAAAGATCCCTGGTGACACAGTGGACCAAGCATTGAGCTGCTAACTCAATGAAAAGTCGGGTGGTCAAATCCAGCAGTCCGAGGGGGATTTGAGATGAGGCAGTCTGACTTTTTTGCAAAGTGCTCTTGTGCCCTTTTTTTAACTCTTCTGGCAAACTGAAGCAATATGGAAATATGGAAAAAGAGTATGGAAATTGTATTTATGAGACTGAAATGTCAAATTTTCTTCGTAGGTAAGGTTGATATCAACAAAACAAAGGATTTATATCGAGATCTGATCACCATCTTTGACAAGCTCTTGTTATCCACCCATGCCTCCTGCCATGT